ATTTAATTTTTCTTCTACTAATCCTAAATTCACTATCTTCCAAAAATTCCACAATGTTTCACCTTTCAACTTATTTCAAAATACATTTCAACCATTTAAACTAATCAATCCACAAATAGCATGCATTAAGACACCCTAATTTGAGTATGACTTATAAGCATCTCCATTTAACATACAAAAAATGCAAATATAGTTTTAATCCTTTAACTTACTATGATTAGCAACTCTTTTGTTATTTCATAGCTATTTCTAAAACTAGTCAATGCTCCATCATATATAATTTTAATAAATATAATATTAACTTTGAGAAAAACTATATTCTTGATACACACAAAATCAATTCTTGTGGTATTCAATCATATGGATTTTCATGATCAATAAAAAGCATACACAATCAAGTTCACTCCCAATTCAATATCCTAATAACATCACATTGGACTTGCACTTCAATCTTCAATTTATTTCAATAGTTGTTCGCATAACACCTTGACTTTAAAACAAACTAACACAATCCATTCAATAAGATTTTTGCTCCAAATAACAATCAAATGCATATGCATGATCAATGGTCCCACTCTAAAGGGATTGAGATTGCTTATAATTTAACTTGAATTGGTGGAATTTTAGTGTTGATAGAAACAAGTTATTGTGTATTATTGACTTGGAAATTTAGTGTTGATAGAAAAGGAGCAACAGATAGACATACAAAAGAATAAAATAAGAAATAAAATAAAAAGCCTCAGATAGACATACAAAAGAATAAAATAAGAAATAAAATAACAAACCCCAATGTTAAAGATATCTTCTACCATAATCTCCTAATATTATTAGCAATTTATTACGCAGAAAAAATGCCAAAACTCATCTCTGAGGCCAAAGCATATTTATATATATTAGCTTAAACTTATTACATAAATGAGAAAATGATAGATGTCCAAGTGCCTTAGTGAAAATATCTAAAACTTGTTTTAAACTAGAAATGTGATTAAAAATTTTCTTGAAAAATATAAAATCTTGTATAAAATAACAATCCTCTTCATGCCTAGTGCATTCATAAAAAATGTGATTACTAACAATATAGATGGTGACTTAATAACCACAATATAAATCATAGGTTGTAAAACATGGAAATCAAACTCTCCCAAAAGAGCTTTTAAACAACATAATTTAGCAAGTAGAATGTGTCATAACTCTGTATTTTAACTTTAGCACTTGATCTGGCTACAACCATCAGCTTTTATTTTTCTTGTTGATTAAATTTCCTACAACAAATAGGTAATATCAAGAGGTTGGCCATCTATCTTCAATTTGATAGTAGAGAATACTTAAACATTTATATGCTTAGATTCAGTATACAGCAACCATTTTCCTAGACAACTCTTCGTATATCAAAGGATCATAGAACAATTTCTCAAGGCTAGTTCAGATTTTGCATGTGCTAAATAACAATACCAACAAATGACATGTCAGATCTATTAGCAGACAAATAAATGAGCTTACCAATTAACTTATGATAATAAGATGGATCAAAAAGAAAGACATCTTTTTCAGCAGTATAGTTTGAACAGTCATAGGTATTTTAACATGCTTACAACTAAAGAGGTCCATTTCTTCGAGAAATTCAGTAACATATTCTCTTTGAGAGAGGCATTCCCTTTTATTATAGGCAAACTCTATGCTAAGAACGTTCTTAGGTTGTCCCAAACCTTTGGTGATAAAGCACTTGTGCAAATAGTATTTTACCTAATAGATGACGAAACGATCACCTCCTGTGAATAAGGTACCATCCAATTCAATCGCAGGAATCAAAAAACCTGGAATAATATGTTTGATGAAGATAGTGATTTGTAGTGTTGCTTCAAAGACCAATTTTAGTGAAGACTTACACAGCTTGTCAAATCAAGCTTCTGAACTCTATATAAGTCCATAGATAGCCTTCCTATTAAGACAGAGTTCTCTTCAGCACCGCAAGGAGATTTAAAAAATGCAAGATTGGCGAGTGCAATGGTTAGCAATTGCGACAGTGTCATGCAATGAGCATCTATGGGATGGAAATGAAACAAACAGCATTGGAGCAATTGAAAGGTAAGTCCAATGCAAGCCTGAGAAAGGTGATCGTGGCATTGGAGTGAGCGCAATGTGAGCAAGAAAAGTGAATGGAGTGAAAGCAAGTGTGCATGGCATTTGAGCAAAACAATGCAAGGTTGCGAATGTGCAGGCGGAGAGATCAAGGAGAGATGGATAGATCTGCAAGAGAGATAGCATAAGGGTGGTGAGTAGCGACAATGACATTAAAATTAGAATACAAGAAAGAAACCATTAAACATATATCATCGGTTATGAGTATACCTCCTATCATAATTTCTTAGCAATATTAGGAGTCAATTAATGCCACTGAATACGCAAACATTTTGCTAAATTTAACAAGAGGACCCTTGAAGATCACCTCAAAGATAGTACAGATTTTCTAACTTATTCCTTCTTTCTCTTTTTGCTTATTCAACCATTTCTGATGAAAATTTGACCCTAACTTTAAGTCGGTTAACAATGAAGTTAACCACATAAAATATGGAGAAAATACCTGATATTGTAAGAATGCCAAGGCAGTTCTTCATTTGACAACTGCATTTTAAAAAACTATACAAGTACTAGAATAAAATACAGAACTCAATCTTAACGCCATGGATTAAAAAAAAAGTGATATAAAGGTATGTACTATATTTGATACCAAAAGGATAATTATTCAATGTAGATTTTATTTATTTTTCATAAACTATGGTCATGCAGACATATATGTGTATATATAAATTTACGTGGTTGATAAATGTTTTTATCTGTGTATATAAATTTATTTGATTGATTAATTTTTTGGGTTGTTTATCTGCACACAATACCACGAATAGATGGGGCATACTTAATTTTGAACAGACATACCTGTATAAGTACAAATTTATTCATATTATAGAGCGCATATTTCTATTTGCAAGCGTCTGCATATTAATACAAATTTTCATACTTTGCAATGACAGCATCTTACTTTCATATGTTTGTGTGTATGGAATTTCACCAGGCCTATACTTGCAAATGTATCTTAAAAGTTTATGAAACAAAATCTTCATTCAACAACAACAACATCAAGCCTAAATCCCACTATGTGGGATCAGCTACATGAATCTTTTTTTTATTCATTGTCTCCTATAATTTAAATCTAATATAATTTATAATACTTTCTAACTAAGCCTTTTTAGGTCTACCTTAACATTTCTTAACTAGGTCAGATCTAATAGATCTACTCTCCTAACCAGGTTATCAGAAGGCCAATATTTTATGTGACCAAACCATCTAAGAAGACTCTATCTGATCTTTCTTATCTGCCACTAGAACTACTCTAACATTTTCACGTCTATATTTGTTTCGCATTCTATCTCTAAGAGTAAAGCCACTCATGCATATGAGCATCTCATCAAAGCAAAAAAAAAAAAAAGATATAAATTAAAAATGAAATTTCCCACATGAAAAATGTTAGTGCATAAACATGAAAGAAAATCTATATGAATTCCTTGTTGTAGGGAATGATAGCTAACCATCCATCACATATAAAGGTCTACAAGAACAACTTTGAGGAAAACGATCCATCCTTCATTATAAAAAAGAGTTAATATAAAATTTATATCCCAAAAGTGCAATCATGACATATTAGGCATTCATTGAACTTGGATGAGGTGACATATTAGAAATTTAACAAGTTAGCTCTTCAGATCGACGCATTGACACCATCATCATTTTTTGTTTCAATTCTTTCCTTTTATTGTCAATTGTCCACTCTTTGCGCATAGAAACTTGACTCTACCTTCTAACCTATGCGATGAAGATGTTTTTATGTAGAATAGTTGCAGTATGTACCAAGCACACCAAATATGTAGGTACCTTTGAAGGAAAGATTGATAATATATAGCGGAGTTGATACCCAAAGAATAATTACTATATACAGTTTCCAATATATCTTCTACCCAACAATGTTAGCTCTTATCTAAAGGTACATAAGATTGTTTAAGAAACGAATAAAGTTTTTGTGACTGTTTTTGTGCACAGCAGAATAAATGGATGGGAGCACTTGTAACTGTATAAGCTAAATTTGTCAGTAATGTGTGTGTGTGTGAAGAAAGTAGAAAAAAAGTGCTAAAAATATGTTTACCTAAATTTAATTGTTTCCTGTTTTCAAAACAAAAAGGTCTAGTTGCCTAAAATTCAGGAAACAGCCTCAGTCCTTAGAAGTGATTTCGCTCATTTTGAAAAATCTGTCACAAATTGTCTTATATAGTCACAAAACATTAAAGCCATTTAATAAGACCAATAAGAATTAAACTACTCTAATATTACTTGACATGAATATAAGTACAATAAAATTTTATTATACACTTGATAATGCAAATATTCATATTATAGAAAATAAATCACTATAACATTACATCACAAATAGATATTGACAACTTTTAGTGAAATAAGTGTACATTAAAAAAAATAATTAAATATAACAAATTCAAACAGTACATAATTAACAATCATAAATAAAATTCTTAATGCAATTACAAGACATGGCAAGTATCATAACAAATGCCAATAAAGATATCATCACCTAGCTCAAATGAAATTCTTGAAAATGTTTTCAGTATGACTTCTTGGGAAGAAATTACAAGACATTACAGAAAGGGAAATAATGATTGGCTACTCTAAAATCTGACAAACTATGCTTATCTAAAGGACGGACTTTGATATCTGGATAATCATAAGATACAAAACAAGCTTTGTAATTAGTATAGCATTAGATTGGACAATTACTTCTCAATAATAATAAGAAGAAACGACTTAGCAGTAGTTGTTTCTCATATAACACAAATACCAAATCATATTTATAGGCAGATTCGGTTTGAAATGAATAGATAGGTCTTAAACCAAATAACTGAAAACTAAGTACTTTAAATATAAGGCGTGAAGGCAACCAAAAAGACGAAGAGTTCCCCAATGAGATCTGCAGCCGCTTGAACAGCTTTCTCTTCATTTAAAGGCCGGACCTCAACATTGGTTGCATGACCATAGATTCGCCTTTGGATATTAGTGGTGATTCGATGGTTTGCCTGGTTACAGTACCAGCACAATAAGAAACTAATTAATGCAACATTCAGTGATAACAAAACATGTCAAACATATGACAATCGGAAAGGACAAAGGGAAGGTTTTAAAAGAAATTAATCAAAAGAAAAGAAATGTCAGAAAGCCTATGTAACATGATTTTTGAAAGTGAATTGAACTAGAGCTTTACAAATGAGTATGATAATGTTAGAATTAATTCATTCGTTGGGCCGGCACTTTGTGCATACTAGTAAGCTCATAAATGATTCAATTAGGATTGACCTTGTTAGTGAGATGAAGCCACTCCAAATTGTAATGGGATTAGACGCTAATGCATCTAAGCCTTAGTTCGCTAATGCATCTTCACTATGTCCTGCCTGATAACACCTTTTATTTAAGTAATAAAATGCACCATGAAAGTTCCTATCCCATACGTGCACTACCTCCACTTCACTGTGATAGCAACAGAGGCTTTACTTCACTGAACTGGAACAGAACAAAATTACCAAATGAAGAATCAGAATGTAACTGAAATATCTGAGTTCAACTCCGTTAAGATCTCCTACTTGAACAACTCTGAACGTGACTGCAATTTTAAAGATGCAAAATTTCCATCTTATTAAAGTAGCTATTGTTCAGAGTGATGGTGAAATAGATGGGGATATTATAGCAGAATTCAAGTTGGATGGTTGAACTGGAGGAATGCATCTGGCTTGTTATGTGATAGAAATGTACCCTTCAAACTTAAGGGAAAATTCTATAAGATGGTAGTGAGGCCTGAAATGCTTTATGGTGCCAAATGTTGGCCATTAAAAGAGAAGCATAATACTAAGTTAAGTGTGGCAGAGATGAGGATGCTCAGGTGGATGAGTGGCTTTACCCTTAGAGATAGGATACAAAATGAGCATATACGTGAAAAGGTTGGAGTAGCTCCAGTAAAAGATAAGATTAGAGAGAGTCGCCTTAGATGGTTTGGTCACATAAAACGGCGGCCTTTCGATGACCCAGTTAGGAGAGTAGAGGTATTAGATTTGACTTATGTTAAGAAAAGTAGGGGTGGACCTAAAAAGACATGGTTAGAAAATATTAGGAATGACCTTTCTTTATTAGATTTAAACGAGAATTTGACTTTTACTAGGACACAATGGAGCAAAAGGATTCATGTATGAAGAAAAAGGATTCATGTAGCCGACCCCACATAGTGGGATAAAGGCTTGATGTTGTTGTTGTATTAAAGTAGCTTTGTCAACTGGATTGCTCATACTGAAAAAAAAAAAAAAACACCTTTTAGATGCAATTTCAGGATGACACTTTTAGTATGCAAATATTGTGCGAGTTTGTTTGGTTTCCCATTGAGTGTGCCACATAGTAAAATAAATTCTTATGTTAAAAAGGGAAAAAAAATTGCTGCAGTTTGTTTAGTTTCCATGATTTTGACTGTTTTGACTTTTAATATTTAAGTTTTCAATTTAAGTATTTTATGAAAATTTGTATACACCTTTTACATTTAAAAACCATTTATTGTGGAGAGTAAATGCATCTTTTATTTTATTCGTAAAAAAATTATGAAATTGTTTCCATAACTTCAAAGTCATAAGCAAGTAATTACAAATTTTATTATTTGTATATAACAACAACAATAATATCAACCCTTTATACTACTACATAGGGTTGGCTACATAAAACTTTTTTCTTCATTGTGTCATATTAAGAGTCAAATTCTTAATTAAATCTAATAAAGATTAGCCATTTCTAATATTTTGTAACCAAGTCTTTTTAGGTCTACCTTTTACCTTTCTTAACATAAGCCAAATCTAATACATTTACTTTCCTAATTGAATCATTGGAAGGCAGCCGTTTTATGTGACCAAACCATCTAAGGCGATTCTCTTTAATCTTATCTTCCACTAGAGCTATTCCAACCTTTTTCATGCATATGCTCGCTTCGTATCTATTGAAGAATTTTTGTATCCTCAAACGGATTGCATATTTTATTATCGAGTACGGCATAAGAACATGATATATTACCCCGAAGGATAAAAATATCATTTCCTTATGGACTCAATAACAAAATTTACAATTATAACAGAGATTCCCCCACTCGATGTTTGGTCGAATGGGGTTTATTTATTTCTGGGGTACAGACATCCCATAGGGGCAAGCCCCTATGGTTAATTACATCCCAAACTTTGGTTTAGGAAAACTTTTGATTAAACTAGTGGTTTTGCTTTGTTTTGAAGTCATTTAAATGTTGGCTAAAATTGATTTTTGTTGTTTTAAAATCCATGAAAGTTTTAGCAAAAGAATTTGGTCCTTTAGAAATTTCAAGGAGGAATTGATCAACTAAGGATTAGATTTTGGGAATGAAAGCAAAGGAGATGAAGTAGGGGCACTTGATTCTGAGATGAAACTCAGAGGTGCCCAAACTATCCTATGTTGGGCTTTACATTTTAACAACCTAATTTTGGTTTAAGTTGATATTTTAATTAGAAAGTTGGGGCTTACATTCCAACAACACATATTGTAGGAATTGCCAGAAAGGTGAGGGCTTATAGGGTGATTTGGAATCAACCTGTGCCTCAGACCCTAAGACTAAGGTGAGGACTACCGATAGGTAGTGGCTCGAACCTAAATCTAACAAGTGCAAAGAGGGACTTACAAGCTACACCTCACAAGAGGCATAGCCTGCCCGACCTCTGGATTTATTGTCCCGCCTAGAAGGGACTACCAGCTAACCCTCCTAATGGCTTTTAAAACCATGCTATCCGGTCTCAATGCAAATGTAGAGTGGTAGGGTTATTTTTATTTAGAAGGTATGGCTTATAGCTTGGCTTTCAGGCCAAGATGCCTAAGCATATGGGTATGCAAATGCTGACGCACAAAAAGAAATATTTTCTTTGTTATCTAATCCTTATATGGAGGCATTCTATATGCAACATGCTTGGGCTATGCATGATTATTTTAAGCTTTTGGAAAACTTGACTCTTTAAAAGAGAATCATGCAAATTTCTTTTGTTAGAAAATCATAGAGCCTAATTTTATTTAAGGTTGCTTACATTTTAAGGGGTAGAAAACTTAGTTTTTTTATCCTAAGAGCCTAACGTAGTCAAGTCCAGGTCACGCCCACAAAAACAAAAGAAAAAGCCTAGGAAAAACATGCTTTTCTAATGCACACCCAGTAAACACTTCAACACATACTTTTATTTATAAATAAAATGCAGGAAATGTAGATAAAATCCAATTTATTACAACCAGATTTGGCAGCTGAGTTGTCTGCCATTATACAACCAGTTAAATTAATTACAGACTTTACTTGTGGGGATCTTCAAGCTAAGGTAAGGAATTCCTTAAGACTTTTGGAGTCTATAAGAGTGAAAGAGGATTTGTAACTTTAAGGTTACAAATCAAGAAGGTGGTTCCTTGAATTTTTGTATTCAAGGAGGTGGAGTGTCATTCCCTTAATTTTGGTTAAGAGAAATGAAGAGAATTTTGGTGGTTTCCTACAATCTAGATTTGTAGGAAAAGAAGTAGTCCAATGTGCAATCTAGAGATTGCAAATTGGAGGAATTCCTTTGGACATGTGGTGTCCAAAGAAAAGAAAGGTTTCATCCCTCCAACTTTGGGTTGGAGGAGAAAAGGAGATAGGATATAACTTGGAAGTTACAACTCCAAGAGGATTCTTTGAACGTTTGGTATCCAAAGAGGAAGCGTACATTCTCAAAATTTGGATTGAGAGAATGAAATAGTTTCCTACAATTTTTGGATTGTGGGAAGGAGAGGGTGCAAGGTTTTCCTACAACTTATAGGAAAAGGAAATATGAAATGCAACTTGTAGTTTGCAAATTAGAGATATCCCTTTTGAACATTTGGTGTTCAAAAGAGAATGACCCATTCGCTTAATTTAAACCAAGTGAATAGTGGAGATTTTCTACACTTTTTATTTGGTAGAAGAAAGGAATGTGCAACTTAGAGGTTGCAACTCATGAATATCCTTGAACATTTGATGTTCAAAAGGTGAATGGCCTTTCTCCCAAATTTGGGCTTAGGAGAAAATGAGAAGATTTTCTACAATTCTTAAATTATAGAAAAGAAAAGCAACAAGCAAATTTTGTATTGCATGTTGAAGGGATTCCTTGGACATTGGGTGTCCAAGGAGGAGCATTCATTTGCTTAATTAGTGACTAAGCAAATGATGAAAACTAAGATTTGAATCTTAAATCTAAGGGATTACTCATTGGTTTGTGATCCAATAAGCAAATGATTTGATAAGCTTACTATAACTTTGGGGTTGAAGGAAGAAAATGTAACTTAGAGAGTTGCAAAATTTCGTAGAGGTCCTATGAATATTTGGTATTCAAATAGGGGTGATCATTCACTTAAACGTGGGTTAAGTGAATGGAGAGGAAAATTGTTTGTTGATCTTGTTTCAACAAACGAGAGGTGAATAACTTAGAGTTTGTTTCTAAGATTTGACCACCATGTAATGATGTTTGATGGGAGCCTTTGGAGATTCCAAATTATCATACATGAGGGGGAGGAGTATTCATTTGTCAATTTTATGATTTAACAAATGAAGGGAAAAAGAAGATTGGTTGGTTCTATGTTCCAACACAAGGATTGATAGTTTAGAGTTTGGTTCCAAACTACAAAGATTCATGTGTAGGAGCACTTAGAGCCTTGGATAGTCTCTAAATACAACACATGAGTGAATTGTTTGTTGATTAGATGCTTCAACAAACCAGGTGGGAGAACTTGGAAATTAGTTCCAAGTTAGAAAGAATTTGTGCAATGACATATTTGAAGTTTGAGGTGCTCCAAATATTATTGCATAAGAGATGTAATTTGTAGTTTTTTGAACTACAAATTAAGAGGGTCATCTACCCATATAGGTTAGGCAAATGAGATAGGCTAGATTTAGAATCCTAAGCCTCAGAAGGGAATTCTTTCATTGATCTTAGTCTCAAAATGAAAGAAAAGGGAGAGCTTAGATTTAGGCTCTAAGCTA